TTGTGTTGATGCTTGGGACATGTTGTGTGCTGATGCTTGGATTATCTAGCCTCGGGCCCCACCTGGTTAGGCCCTATCACTTGAAGTTGGCGATGTCCTGGCAGGTGAGTGGGCGAAAACTTTGAGACAGAACAAGGATACTCGTCTTGCAGCCTCCCCAATCTCTGTGCCGAGACCAGACCTGCGAATGCAGGTTGCAAAAGGAGTGGATTCATTCTGATCAGCCAAGACTCGCATGTCAGTGTGTTGTGCATGATGGTAGATAATCGTGTACTTGTTCCTGGTTTTGCCGCAGAGTTCTCAGCCGTAGCAGTGTAGCAGTGCAGCCTTGTCGTTGTGCTTTGGGTTGTTCTGCTTGCACGACTTCGACGACTCCTTGATCACTGTTGACATGGCCCATGCTTCGGGTACAGCATCTGCCGAACAAACCTTGTGGGGAGAGCAATCGCTCACAGAACGTTTCGGCGGCCTCGCTGGCCGTGAGCTTCAAGAAAAGGTTTTCTCGATATACCAGGCAGGGCTTGCTTTGCTGATTCCGAGCACAACCCCCAGCCTCGACTCAAATCCATGGTCCATGGTCCCTAATTCCTGTCATGTCAGGTGTCGGATGGCTTGACGGTCCCGTGGTTTGCAGATGCAGAAGCCGCCAAACAAGGAAGCAAGAACATCATTCGTCACCCCGTCAACGACAGAAAACAGTTCAGTGTGGCAAAAGCTTATGCCCGGAATATTTTGCAACACGGGATAATGGAAGGCTGCCGAAGCCAACCATGGCTCGTGGAGCATTTAGACAGCACTGTGAGTCGGATAATATTTGTGCCAGTGTATTTAGATTCTATGTTGCAAGGTCATTGCAGTCATTGCATGGTGTGCTTCTGCTTGTGTATTGTGTACCGAGGCCACTCACCGATGGATCACCATATCTTGCGATCACCTTTGGAACGTTGCCACTTGACGTTGGAGTTGGCGATGTTGTTGAAAGGGAGAGGCTTCGAACGGCTTAGGGCCCTCGGCTGGGGGATAGAAATATCATGCAGATATGTCACATGATGTTGCTTGCCACATGGGCTGCCGTTGCCTTGCCATAATCAATGACTATCTTGAAACTCTAGGAGTCTTGGAACAGATCCCAAACAGGCCCACACATACCCTTAAACTTCCTAAACCGAGTACATGCTATAGCTGCTATAGCTTAACGACGTTTTCTCAAGGAACCCTGACAGGAACCTTAAGAATGTCGTGCACTTGCACTGTTGCAGTACATTTCCTGTGACAGCACATCTAGCTACCAGGTCCGAGGCATTCTACACGGTGGCTGGCGATCCGAAGCACAGCACCAATGCACAGGTGGTGGCCACACAAAAGGCTGGCCTTCGCAATTGCCGCATCTTTTCGAAAAAGACACCGACTGACGTTCTCATGTTTCTTGGATCAGTTTTGCGACATGTTGTGCGACTATTACATCGTGCTGGGCATGTCTTCCCTGTGACGAGATAGTCAGCTTTTCCTGTATATGTTGCTGCTGATTCGGCCGTTGAGTGCTTCCAAACATGTCAGCTTCCTAAAAGATAGCAACTAGCAACAATTCCTGCCACATGTCTTCTCTGTGACAAGGCAGCCAGGTTTCCGTGCATATGTTGGCTGTTGATTCTGTTATTGTTGATTGCTTCGAAACATGTCAGGTTCCTGAAAGACATCAACAATTCTTTTCACGGCGGTTCCGGCATCAATTTCCTTGAGAAGCTGGTTGGGGTCAAGGAATTGGACGAGGCTGCAGACTCGAAGCATAAGCTTTTAGAAACATGTTTGCGAAAGTTGAAGCCTGGAGTCAACTGCAGGCCTGGCGGTCGTACAAAGAACGCCATGGGATCTCGACGAGATCTTCTGACAGAAAGGATCTGACTGACTGGATTGAGAACAGCGAGTTCAAGGACATGCCGTGCAGCAGCATGCATTACATGCAGGGCAGTGTAGTCCAGGTGACGTGGATGTGTCGCATGGTCGCATGGCATGGCCACATTACACTGGAGTGGTGCTGCATTAATTATAATTTGCCTTGTGTTGGCTGCTGCTTGTAGTAGTTGCAGTGCAGTATGGTGATTCGGATGTGATATTGACGTGGATTGGATTGTGCATGTGTCGCATGTTGCACGATGGCTATGTAGCGGTGCAGTGTGCAGTGTTCTGTTAACATGATTGATACTCCGATATTCCTCTTGCTGTCTGCTTGTGCTGGCTTGTACTTGTGCTTGTGGAATCTCAGTAGGAACTGCACATGCAGCAGGAACGTTACAACGGGAACAGCTTCAAAACCGCGAAGGCTTTGAGAACCAAGTTGATGAACATGCAGATTTTGCAAGAGTGGGAAAACGTGTTCGCCTCCGAGACTGATTTCTTATCACCCCAGATGGTCGACAAGCACGACCGAGCTTTGCTCTGCATGAACAGCATCGGCACTATGATCGAAAGTAACCTTCCTGGACAGTCTCCCGAGCATCAGGGATTGTTGCTCATGGAGTTGTGCAAGTTTGTTGTCAGAAGCTGAGATAAATTTGCTCATGCAATGGCTGCATTTGAATCGTGTTTGAGCCTCCTTCATCTGATTTGCGTTTTGGCGACAAAGATACAGACCCAGGTCCNNCCGACGGACGTGCAAGGTGCCCGAGTTTATCCGTGGCTTCTGACGAGAGGCCCTGACTCCAAGGAGATGCAAGATTTGGAAGTGAAGCTTTTCACAGCGATTGCTGGTGCTCCTTTTGTTTCCAAGCTGGGGCAGAAGCGGGGTCCAGACCCAAAACCCAGCAAAGTGAAGGCAGCTGTGATCGAGGAAGAGCCGGAAAAGAAGGCCAAGGGCAAGGCGAAGAGCAAAGCAAAGGCAAAGGCAGGCAAGAGGAAAGCACAGGGTGATGATGACATGGCGGAACCCAGCACAGCCCTTCAAGGGCCCGTCGAGTTTGAAGAAGGCACCCGTCCACGGCGATGGCTAGACGATCTCCTTGGAGCATTGATCACAGCGAACTACGGGAAACCACTCATGTACCCATGGAACAGCCCCGCCGGCCAGTTGACTCGGATGCTGATAAGTTATGGCCTCGAATTCGCTTTGACGGGCAGCCTCACCTTGAACAAGAAGATCTTCAAGGATTGGTCCAAGGCGGCATCCAACATTATTTATGTCGTGATCATGTCATGCATGAACAGAATCCTGATAAGCATGAATCTCAACATTTGAACGAGATATCGAAATGAAATGAACCGAAACTGCAGTCAGTGCATCAGTGTGACCAGCAGTCCATGTTCCACTTGATTTTTGACTCTTGTCTTGACCCTTGACTCCTGACCCTTTGAACATGTTGAGCCATGTTGAGTTTGAGCATGATCCTCCCAGGAACTGGCCTGACTCATGACTCATGGCTTGCCTTTACCGTTGGCCTTTTTGAATGCTTGTTGATTCGTGTTCAGTTTGTGCCGTGATTTTATGAATGATCTAGCAGCCTAGCAGTGCAGCATGCCGCCCATGCATATCCCATGGCCGCCGATGGGCTCGTCTGTTCATGTTTCATGTTTCGGTTGACCCGTGACACTTGTCACTTGACCCTTTGAGCATGCTGAGTCATTTTGAGCTGGGGGCATGGTGCATGTGGCATGTGCATGTTGATTCGTTGAGCCTGTGCAAGTGACTCCTGTGCCAGAGGTCAGACCGCACTTGCAGAGCTTGATGAGGGCCTTGATCAAGAAAACCCGTGATTCCGTGGCCGCATCTTCCGCCGCATCTACTGCAGCCGATTCCATGGTGAGTCATTTGTTTGATCGTGTTTCCGAAGAGAAGGCTGCATTGGAGAACCAGACTGCAGAGGCAGGCAGCGAAGAAGATGTCAGCGACGTCAAAGCATGGGTCCGCTTTGTGTTGCATACTTGCAAAATGACTGTCGAGGATGCAGGTGTCTTTCTCAGCAAAAATACAGGGCCGATTGAGTCCCACCCCGCCTTCCGCCGCTTTCGTGGAATCTTGAAAGATGTGACCTGTACGTGCAGTGCCGATGCCGATGCAGCTCCCGGTCCCTGTAGCTTTCATGACGAGTCGGAACACAGCATCCAGGACTTGGTTTGGGGTGTCACCGAGTGCTTGAGGGCTGACGAAGAGTCAGTGCCTACTTCAGTGCTGCGGGTTGGCCTGGCAACACTTGGTGCGGTTGCCATTCATGCATCGGGTTCGGGGGCGAAGCCCGACGAGAAAGTGCAGACACCGGCAGAGCTTGTGGGTAAGCATGCAAAGTTTGTGTTGATTGAGAACGAGCGTGGCGAGTTCGTTTTCAACGAGCAAGCGATCGAGGGCATGATTGTGTGCCGAGCACTTTACATGCTGTTGGCTTTGAGGCAGGTGATTGAGAAGCCATTGGAGCCTCGAGTCTTCGTCACTGTATCGGATGTGCCGTCTTTGCATGCCTTTGCTTCGCTTCTCGATTTCTTGTTGAGCAAAGACGGCAAGGCATATGTCATGGAAGTCGAAAGCCGCTGTCATTTCGCCCAGAATGCTCAAGGTCACAAGGCATCCTCTAAGTCCGGTGCAGATGCGGATCCGGGCTCTGGGCCTGTTTCGTTATGGTGCTCGACTTGGTCGAAGATTCTCTTCGAAGCTGTCCGGGCCCATGCCAAGAGTTGCGGTCGGAATCGTGAGGCTGATGCTGGTGATGCCGTGCCTGGAGCCGAGCAGCCAGAAGCCAAACGTGCCAAGACTCAGATGACAAAGATTGGGAAAGATTTGAAGGGTCCCGAAGAGTATCAGATTCAGCCTCCCGCTGATCCAAAATTGTGGGCTTCCTTCCTGCCAAGCCCAACGAAACTCTTTTCCAAGTCGCTGGCAGACAGCTTCCTGATGAACACCCTCACGACTCCGACCACAACAAGTGCTGGTCCTGCTACCGGCCATGAAGCAGAAGCCGTGAAAGAAGAGGCAACGGCAGCGTCAGCATCAGCAGCAGCACAGCCGCAGGCTGCGGAACCCACCCAGCAAGTCGAGTTATTGAACAAGACACCGACAATCACTAGCATCTACAACATGCACAATCTTGCAGGTGTGAAGTCCTTGAATGTGCTTGATGTGTTGGCTATCGGACAGCAGGTGCAAACACACATGTTGCAGAGGTCGGCGTGACCCGTCGCCATGAGTCTTGTTTTTTTTTTTTTTGTGTGTGTGTGTGTGTTGTTTTCATATCTTTATAAAGGACTGGACTGGACTGGACGACTAGCTGACAAAAAAACAGTCGCCGTCAGTCGCCCTCCCGTCTTTGGTCGGGGTATCGGTACGGTATCGGGTAGTTATCATTGATGGCTTAAGTTGATTCATCGTGATATGATATCATCTGTTTGTGCAGATAGTGCAGTGCCGTGCGGCCGTGCAGTCGAGGCAAGGGTCCAATTCAACGTTGCTTGGTTTGCTTCAAGTGGACTTGAAATCGCAGCTGGTGATCGATGTTATTCAAGCTTCGAATGCCTTGAGCGGGGAGGGCGACCATGACTCTGACGGCGAGCACGTCTTGTACATGCATGGCCATGTCACCCCAGAGCAGACGGCCAAGTGTGTGAAGGTTGCAGCTGCAGTGTTAAGTTTTGAGGTACTGGCACTGGTAATATCATATCCGATCCTATTGAATCATACTCTCATACTCTCATACTGAATCATACTCGGTTGCCGTGATGCATCATGATTGCCATGTCATGACATGTCATGTCATGTCTTTGCCGATGTGTGACTCTTGATTCTTGATTGATCATGGGCTTCATGAAGGAGTCGTGGCCATAGGCCCACGAAGGACACTTAAGCAATCATGCTCTGCACTTCCCATAGGTGGCTGAAGCAACGTTTGACGATGGGCCTGTCAGCTATTACATGCAGGGCGACAATTTCAACAAGACCACCAGTGCTGCCCCCAATGCCATTTGGATGATGAAGACCGGCTATGCCCAGGATAAAGCTTTGTTTGCTGCTCAATCCAAAGAAGTGATACTGGAGTTTCCAGATGCGTGCGGAACTGAGTCGCACAGAGCCGCACACAGTCGCATTTCGGCAAGCACGTGCCAAAGCCAAAACATCACCTTTAACATCACCCACGGTAACGTTTTCTGGCTCAGGCATGGATGTAAGCGATCGGTCATTCTCACGGAGCACTCGGCAAAGCTTCAGATGAAGGCATGCGGCATGCAGTTTCGTTTTGCAGTCGGAGTGTGTTGGATGCTGGCATGAACGGCATGAGCAGTGCTTGATTCGGCTTGAATCATGAACCGCTTGATTGCTTGATTAATGTTTGGAGTCTGAGCCCAGCCATGTCCTTAGGTCCTTGGTTCATGAATGACAGTAGTGCTAGTTATTTCTTACTACTACCTTGTTCATGCAGTGTTACTTGTGCGGCCATGCATTTGCGAGGCATTGGCGGCCTTGGTACGTAAGCACGGTAGATCAAGCAAAGATGCATCGAGTGAGGTGTTGTGCACTCGGTCGAATTTTCCAGGCGAAACAGCCGATGCTAAAGGTGCTGGGCGAAAGGCTTCATCATCAGGTGTTGCATCGAATCAGGTGCGGCTGGGTGGTGTTGCTTTCGCCGGCAGGCTTGCAGCAGCAGACTCGCAAGCCGAGGTGAATGTGCTTTTGAGCAAGGTTGAGCAAGCCGCAGATGATCTGTGGTTTCTTTCTGCACCTCCGCCCAAGATGTGCCAGCACTTGCTCCGCTGAATTCGTCGAGTACATTATGGATTCTCAGATTCGTCCATGCGCTTGTCGTCACTTGCATTCGTACTGTGCATGCACTGCATAAGCCTGCAACATAACACTGAATGAATTTCAAGCCAGCCTCTTTCCTGCTGCAGTGCTTGATTGCATGCCATGCCGCATGATTGCATCGTTGAGTTGTTGACTTGATTGGCGCTGGAGTTGTGAAATGCTGTAGCCACATACGGGCCATTAATACTGGTTGTGAGCTGTGCATGATGTCAGCTGAAAGCAAATGATGACATGATGTTCGGAGCGTTTTGGGATTTCTTGTCAACGATTCGGCGGCTGTATGTTAGACTCATGTCATGTAGTGGTACCGTGCGGTATCATTTCCACCATGCACGTTTTTGAATCTGGGTCCCAGGAGATGTTTGTGAAAAGTAAGTTCATGCCCTGCTAAATACTGTGTGCAGATGGTTCCTTTCGCTTGTTTGTTAATGTAGATATGTCACGGCGATCACGGACCCAGACTTCCCAGCTCGAACGGCACCGCACCACGTCGCCTGTTTCACCACATTGAGCTTCTTGCGGACTGTGCTGCAAAAAAGCAAGATGTCTCGACAACAGTGCCAGTGTGAGCTGCTGCGGCTTGAATCAACAATTCCAATCCTCCGGAATAGTATGGTCGTAAGTTCCAAGCATTGAGACTTATTATTTCTCACCTCGCGAATTCTCTATAAATGAGTCTGCAGCTTATCATACAATAGCTTTTTTTCAGCGAAAAAAACATACATTCATTCAGCGGGGCCGCATGACATAAAGAACCACGAAACCGCGGACCTGATACACTATAGCCGCCGGGCTTCAATCTGTAAGCAAAACAAGCCACTGCGGACGGGTATGCTTCAAAATCCTGTCCACGCATCTTTTGCTTCCCGTTTCCACGAGTGACGTTTCAAACGTGTAGCTTACATTGATACCAACTTGAAACTGAGTACCCAATTATTGGCTCCCTTGGAACATGAGGGCTGAGAATTGGCAATTCAAGGAAGTTGATCTTGCAAAGAGGGGCCATGCCTAGCACTGTAAACCCCAAACTCCTGCAGCCTTAAACTCCCTCATCCCCAACCCGCGACCCAGAACCCCAAAAAGAACTAAGAAGTATAGATTCCCTAATTTGGGACCCATATAATATTCAAGGGCACTTTTTTAAAAACCCTCATTATTTTCGGGATCTACTTCTTGGATCCTCCCGGGGGGACTGGAGAAACCTGACGTCCAAGCGCACCGCCGACTCGCTGACAGGCGCCGGCGGCGGAGGAGGTGTCGGAGCGCTTGGAGGCGGAGGTGCGCCCCCGTCCAGGGCCCGGGGTTCAGTTGTTGGGTTTTGATATAGGCTTTCAGATTTGGTGTTTAGGGCTCAGGGTTTATAGGCTGATGATGACGATGGTGATTAATTTGTGTTGTTATACATATGCACGTATCTATTTTTTTTGTCAATTCTGTTCATTTACGTACTGTTGTGTCTTGGCTTCCTTTCATAGTTCAAATTAAAGCCTTCCCACCCCCCAAATGTTGAAGTAAACCCTAAACCCTAAACGCTGGAACGGGGGCCGGGAATGTTCGATCCCATTTGGGTCGCTGGCGATGGGGCCGATCACCCTAACAGCTGAGAGTTCAGTACCTAGCAGGGTCTAGGGTTGATTTAGGGTTTAGGGTTTAGGGTTTAGGGTTTAGGGTTGAGGGTTTACTAGCAGTAACAGTCAGTGAGTAAGACCCGAAGCCCTAACCTCTAATACTGAGTGTGCACGGTTTTCCTCAGCCCCTACGTAGTCGGCCCCGGAGTCAGATGATGGAAGTTTCGGGCCTTACAGCAAGGAGGATATCCAGCACTTCGCGAGACAGGTCGTCCTGGTTCGTGATCAGCACCTGCAGGCATCCCGTCAGAAAACAGCAAGTCAACTGCATGGGACTTTCCGAAAATTGGGGGTACCTTACTTTGGGGTCCTTATGATAAGGATCCTATTATTAAGGGTGCTATATTAGAGTCCCCTATTTTCGGAAACCCCCGCATGATAATGGTGCAAAGGTGTCCGGCACGAGCCGGTGCTCAAAGCCATGGACAGACGAAAACTGGACTCATCTGTCCCTTGTACAGCCGTTCCGATTATATACATATACACACATACACATGTACATACATACATACATACATACATACATACATACATACCTACGCACGTACATACATTACCTACGTACGTACATACATACATACATACATACATACATACATACAAACATACAAACATACATGCATTTGTACATACATACACACAGACACAGGCACACATACACATATACATATACACAAATACATGCACAAACATGCACATCAACATGTGTAATGGAAAAGAACAGTCTAAATAAATGAACGAATGAAATCTGCCCAAGGAAGACTTAAGACTATAGTTATATATATATATGTATGTATGTATGTATGTATGTATGTATGTATGTATGTATGTATATATATATATATCGTAATTAGTTTTGTCTGCTTCCCCTCTTGGCGATTATGCAGCTCTTATGGGAGTTCTTGCTCTAGCTGCTGCGTCTCGTGCATTGGATATTCTGCAGTCTCGCCATTTCTGCAGTATTGTGCCTGTACTGATGGTGATAGTGTCGTCAATATGCCGCACCAATGAGTGCCCCTCACTACAGCTTAAATGAATAAGACACTGTGCAAGCTTCGGGGGCGGCGAGGGCCAGGTTGGTTGCAATGGATTTCTCGAAGGCAACGACAGCAAGGAAGTATGAACGCTCAAATCGGGAAGATAACGTGTGGCCTACAATTTCCTGCGCCATAAGCAACAAAGAGAATGGTAGGACAACATCGGGATTCCTGCGCTGCAATGATGTAATTGATGCCATAGGGGCTTGAGCATACCATGACTATATCAAGGCATGGATTTTTAGGGGGGGTATTCATTATTGCAAGCTCTCAGACCCGCAGATGACATATGGGGGTTTCCGAAAATAGGGGACCCTAATATAGTACCCTAAATAGTAGGATCCCTATTATAAGAACCCCCAAAATAAGATACCCCTATTTTCGGAAACTCCCAGATCATATCGGTTTTTGATACAAGCGAGACCCAGAGTCTGCCCTCTTCTCAAATTCACCTGGCGCAGGCTGCTGTAGAGGCACCCCAAGATGAAGCAGTTGAGGCCGCATGTAGCATGGTCAAAGGCGGTAAAAGCAGAGACACATATCCTTCAAGAGCGGAAGATTTTCCGTAAACATCGCAGCAATAAAGCCCGGATATAATTCAAGAGTATTCTGTGATTAAGGGGCAAAGGAGTATTTGGCTCTGTGGGCAGGATTCAGCAATCCAGTGTGTAGGTGTCGGGCTTTCGACTCAAGTGTTTGAGGGCGCCTAAATATGGGGATATATGGGGATTTTGATGAACAGTAAGGCGATCCCCTTATGGTCATAAGTTTTACTGTTATACTATAATTAATATACCTTAGTCTAATCATGAAGGCACCTATATTAGCTTTGCTGTTTTGCGGATTCTGGGACCCGACACCAATTAGGGTTTAGCTTCTGTTGTAAGGTTCCTGCGAAACGGTTGTAGAATGTGCCATGGACAAAGAAAGTTTTCTTCCCGGAAAGCAGGCTAAACCCTAAACCCCACGGTTGTATGGCTTCTGGTGTCCCATGAGTCCCATACACAAATCGCCAAAGCAAGCGAATCCCATCACACGTAACCCCTCAACAAGCCGAAAACCTCAACGTTCCAAAGCCCTGAACCCGAAAAACCGACAGAGGCAGGCTTGCTCGCACAGAAAAGGCCAGATCCCTGAGCCTCAACTCCAATCTGCTTGTCTTTCCAGGCGGCCGACGAGCCTCCGCCCGACCCCACAACAGAGGCCCATGGGGTTTAGGGCTTAGGGTTATGGGTTTAGGGTTATTTAAAGGGTTTAAGAAAGTTTAGGGTTTAGGGGTGTGTAGGTTTTAGGCTTCAGGCTTTCACTAAGTACAGGTAGCTGGTAGATTAGCTTCGGTTTTCTAGCTTGACGTAACCGTAATATATGATTAGTCACATTCTCTTTTGAATCTAAGATCCTATCATAGATCCTATCATGATCTATCATGCATTTGTTTAGAAGCGCATAAGGAGAACCGTAAAATTTTTCGGCCTTACATAGTTTGCCTATCTAAGAAAGTTTGGACCTTTTTTTGGCCCGGTTGTTGAAGAATCGAGCTTAAGATGTCCTCCTGGTACTACGCAGGCTTCCAACTGAGAAGGCACCCTAACGCCCCCCACCCCGCCTGCCCCCTCAAAAAATCAACAACAAGCTAAACCCTAAACCCAACACGGTTTAGAGTTCAGGGCTTCTGGGTGCTAGGAGGTGGGGGTTTAAGATTTGAGCATGTGGGTTGATGCGATTCGCGGAATCTGCAGCCGTCCTGCAAACAAGAGCTTCCAACAAAGTATAAATTCGGGGTTCTGATGCTGTTCGTTTATCTGCGGTCGCTGCTTAGCGGCGTATCACGACAGACGATATTGCAGTTCTGTGCTGACATGTATTGGCCGAGGGTTCATTCAGGATATGGGGGTTTCAGAAAATAGGGGACTCTAATATAATACCCTAAATAGTAGGATCCTTATTATAAGGACCCCAAAATAAGGTACCCCTTATTTCGGAAACCCCCCTTTTGGGGTGTCAAAGTACGCAGGGTTCTGGCTGTTGGGTGGCAGGGCTGACCGGTTTGTCGGACTCTCGGAAGTTGGCGTCTGTGACCAACTTTCCAACGTGAAATGAGTGCATTGCATGCCTTTTTGGCCGAAGGAACAGGGACCCGGAAATCCTCCGCAGCTTCAAGCGACTTGCCGACTTGCCGGCAGACTGTTATTTCTTTCGCCTCGTGCGGCCACGGCCACTGTTGACGGGAGGTTTAACGTTCATCCGACTCCCGATCTGCCCCAGGACGCTCAGCGCGCTCCGACCGATGCCAGTGACGAAAAGTTTCGAGATGGTCCGCGGCTCCTTGGACGATGACATGTCCGTGAACGCACCCATCATCGTTCGCAAGGGCCGCAACACGCTGGCTTCACTCTGCCCGAGCGCTGAGTGCAAGGGCTTCATGACTAACCTCTTCGACGTTTTCGCTTCGAAGATGCTTGTCTCGAAGGCGCCGAAGCCGTCTAAGCCCCGAGCCCTAAAAAAGCCTGAGTTCTTGAACCCTAAACCCTAAACCCCTGATCTCTACAAGAAGCCGAGAACCAAGCGACAGTCTTGACGAGCTCGATGGCAGAGCACGTCGGAGACCAAAAGCCAAACCCCCAGACAAGCACCAGAACCCTTAAATATTAACCCGGAAAGAAAGTAAAAGCCCACCCTTCTACGTAGTAGCGCAGACTGTATCCGAAGGAGCCCGAATCCAGGACCCCTCCAAAGGGACTTCATCCTGAACTAAGCCTACTGTAATAATAGGACCGCTTGAAAGGAACCCTAATACTAGGACCCCTTATATTAAAGGACGCCTTTCTTAAAGGAGACCTAATACATATTAGGACCCCTTAAAGGACACCTATAATCCTAGAGCCCTCAAAGGCCGAGGCGCCAGAGACCCGTCCCAGCACCAGTTCCTCGGAGCCTCCGGAAAGCGTGGATGCAGGCCCGGAGACACCCGGAGCCTCAGAGGTTTAGGGTTTAGGGTTTAGGGTTCAGGGTTTAGGGTTTAGGGATTAGGGTTTAGGGATTAGGGTTTAGGGTTTAGGGTTTAGGGCTCTTTTACCTACGGCAGTGATCCCCTTTTGTAGTTTCCTTTGTATAAGGCACCACTATGACACTATAAGTTTCCTTGTAGCAACCCTATGGTATCCTTCATAGGAACCTACATGCTTTTGACTTGAGTCATGGAAGATTAGAGCAAATGGTTCTTAATGCTTCGAGGTTTGGGGCTTTGGGTTTACGGGCTTGAGCGTGTTGGTAACGGGTACGTGGTCTGGGATAGGAGGTGCAGAGTTTTTATATTCGAAACGTTTCGAATCAAGGATATTTTCGTTTTGTTTTGGGGTTGCAGAACTACCATACACACGTTTCCGTAGCGCCCCTGGTAAGTCTATAACAGGGTCTATGCGGATCCTTCCGACAAGTAGCGGTTATGACACTTCAACGAAGGGCTGTCTGAGTTAGCCGGAAAGCCTTAGACTCAGACCCCTCGAGCCCGGAATCCCTAAAATAGGGGCCGTAAGAATTTCAATAGGGTTTTGGGGCCCATTATACTACAATTATAATATAAGGAAGCCCCCAAAATAGCATTGGCAATAATTTAGGCCCCCACATTAAATTGACGAATTCTCCACCGGAGCCCCAACCCTAGGGCCTCAAGCCCCGACTAAAGCCCCTGAAAGCTTAAGCCCCCTGGAAGACCGAGAAGCCCTGCACCACGCCAGCTGTTGGGTGTTTGCGAGACCCGAAACACTAGACCGCACCCTCAACTAAGCAGTGATTCTTTACATGCTTCGAGGACGGTCCCTGAAGTAAGAGGTCTCGGACTCAGTGGCAAGCCCTGATAGACAAGATAAAACCCACATGCAACTATTAAGGGCTCCTCGAACAAACTTACGACTCTGGGTAACATGTATACTAACTTTTATAGAACCCATCTAAACTCTCATTATACACATTCTCGTAATAACTCATTATAGAACCCCTAAACCCTAAACCCTAAACCCTAAACCCTTAACCTACAGAACACTTGGTAACAGCCCTGCTGTGCCAGGTCCCCAAGGAGTTGAGCGAGAGGCTGAGATAGACACGGCTGCCTTGGCAGCTGCCGAAAAGCGAGGTGGCTCAGGGTGAATACCTAAACCCCCGAAGTAGGTAAAATAATGGTCCAAAACCTAAAAAACATTATTCTACATATTTTTGTGGTCCAGTTAGGGTTTAGAGCATTGATACGGGGCCTCCCCACCTCTGGAATTAATTTTCATTTTCGTGGTCACGTAAGCCACGCGGATGATTATGACGTATGGGTCTAAGGCTTTACGGTACACCCGGCTTTCGGTATCCAGGTCCCCCAGTAGTGCCCTGATGCTTTTTCATGTTGGGGTCTACTATGTTGCGAGTATACTGAGGAACCTAAGGAATAGATTGAATTGAAACAGGAGAATAGGACCAAGGATTACCTGTAGCAGGTTTGGGGGTTTGGGGCTTTTAGGGCCCCCAGAAACGGTATCCTCATTAAGCATTCGAAGAGTCAATGTATATAGTTTTTGTTTTTGAAAGGCTTCTTGTTTGATTGGCTCCGGGTTCCGGTTCTGACAGAGCCTCACTCAAAGAATTTACGACCAAAAACACAGGGCTCCGTGGTTTTGTGTGTCTTCCTTGTTTCAGGGGTACTGCCGGTCTCGGGCTCTCTGGGTGTGGTTTGTGGTTTACGGTGCAGGGTTTAGGGTTTTAGGGTTTAGGGTTCAGGGTTTACGGGCTTTCGGGCTTCGTCTTGAGATTTTCGGTTTGTGGTGTTGGCTTTGCTTGCCGGCCAGAGCTGTGCCGGCAAGAGACTACTCTCAACCTCTAAACCCTCAAACTTTTCAACCCCTCAAAACCCCCAAACCTCAAACCTCTAAACACCAAATCCCCTAAAACCCCTAAAACCCCTTAAAACACCTAAAACCCCTAAAAACCCTAAGCCCAAGAAAACCCAACACTGATCCAAAGGAGATGCCGCGCCGCTTCCGGCACAGCTACGCCAAGGCCGGGGTCGAGGGATCTGCCGGTGAGACGTGACTTTGGGGTTTAGGGTGCAGGGTTTGGGGTTTAAGGGTTTGGGGTTTAGGGTTTTGGGGTCTAGGGTTTGGGGNNTAGGGTTTAGGGTTTAGGGGCACACTCTATTATAGTAGATTTGTGTATGGTCTTTGTAGGATTTCTGTCTGTGTTCTCTGGGTTTCTGTAGGGCTTTTTTTGCTTGTAGAGGGCTGGCTATACTATAGGTGTCTGAATACCAGCCGTTCGTAGTCAGTCTTCCCTCCCTTAAATAAGGGCTCCCGATCATAACAATAATAGGAGTCAGATGTCAGGCTTATCTACCTCAATGCTAGTCAGGGGTATTCTAGTTCATCAACCATACATTCTTTGATGTGCAGATCCCTTGCTCTCTCTCTCTCTCTCTC